TTGTTTCGAAGTCTGGGGGTGTGGAGGTTTAGACTCTAAAGGTTCAGGGTTGACTGACACCCCAGCGACCGGCGCCGCAGCCTTTTCCAAGCCGTCCCACACCTCGCAGGTATCGGGGCCTGCCCGGTGAAGCCCGGAGCGAAGGTGGGTTTTGGGCGGACAAGGGGTTATAGGGACCAGAATAGATCTGTTTCGGCTGAAGGTTCATGATATTTCGCACATGAGGTTTAGAGCCGCGGGGCTTGCAGGGTGTATTATTGACTTTAGAGAAGGAACTTGCAGAACATCCCACAACCCAATCCCATAAAACCGTGAGCCCTCATGGCTGAACCTTCCCTAACCTAGGAGCCAGAGAGATCCCCAGAGGCCCCACCCCCGCCAGCTCCCAGGTCCTCTATCTGGGCGGAGCCTCGGGCACCACGGTCTCCCACGTCTCCGACATGGTCGGGCCCGAAGGAGTTGTCTATGCCGTGGAGTTCTCCCACCGCTCCGGCCGAGACCTCACGAACATGGCGAAGCGACGCCCCAATGCCCCTGGGCAGCTGGGAGAGGATATCGGACGACTTATGGTTTGCATCTTAATTGGAACTTTCATGTTTACATCGGTGCGAATATGAACAGATCCCAAATGCTAAACCCGGCTCGCGGATTTGGTTGAGAGGTCACCATCAAGTTACGAACGCAAGGGTGGAAGCTTGAAGGAATGAGGTTTCTGTTATGTTGAACTGCAAGAAGCTGAGACAAGTTCCCCAAAAGCAGTTCAGCTGAAGCTTTCGGTGTGCCCTCTCTGCTGGCCCTGCAGTCCCACTCGGGATCGTGAATGCTAAGCCGCACCCTAAACCCGAAAAGAACTTAAACCCTGTGTCCAGCAGTTGGAAGTGAGGTGGTGCCCATTGTCGAGGACGCAAGACAGCCACAGCGCTACCGATGCTTGGCCAGGATGCTTTCCGTTTTCAGTTGCGGCGGTTGGTAGGGCTTGGGGTTGAGCTTTGAGTTCTTGAGAATGCGAGTCCGCGGGTTGTGATCCGATTTAGTTACCAAGCCCTGGAGCTCTCTATGGAAATGCAAGCTCTAGGTCCCTTCTATTCTGCCACCATGAACTCCCATGGCAGAGGAATGCTCATCGGCATGGTGGACGTGATCTTCTCCGATGTGGCTCAGCCGGACCAGGCGCGTATCGTCACGCACAATGCCGGCTTCTTCTTGAAGAACAACGGCTGGGTCATGATCTCCATCAAGGCCCGTCGCTTGTTTCTTCCTTCCCTCAGCATCGTGCATTTTCCGAGTGGTGAAGAATTTCTGCACAGCATAGAGAAGGCTGCGTTGGGATCAAAACTACGAAGCCGCGGCTTCAATGTTCCCACTTGTCATAGTTCGCATGCCCTGATTCTATGCCCATCGCGACCTGGAGAACCAAGACGAAGCTCTTCCGGAAAAAGAGTCGAGCCTAGAAACATGATACAAAAAAGCCCAAACCAAACACCCAAAAGGCCTCCTCCCCATTTCACCGCCACCCAAATCCAGGCAAACTGCGTGGACTCCACGGCGGCCCCGGAGGCTGTCTTCGCCATGGAGATCGACAAGCTGCGCCACTCGGCGGCGCTTCTCTTGGCCTTGGTTTTCTTTGCCGGGGGTGCCGTGAAGCTCCATTTGGTGGTTTGAGATTCTAGCCAAATCCAAGCAACATGTCCTCAAGCCTACGCGCCCTGAAGCCCTCAAAGCCATTCTCAAAGCCCACACCACGAGAGCTCAGGCAAGGATGGAGTGAAGCCCAAAGAGCAACTGACCTTGGTGCCTCGGATCCGAGGGTTTTTTCAGGGGCCAGGATGATGGGTCCAGAGTCTAGAGCCAGTTTTCGATGGACCTTCGTTGTTAGAAGGCTTCCAAACAATCGCCCACACGCGACGCTTTATGCCCAGGAGCCCTATCACCGTGACCATGCCTTGGTTGTCGGTGTTTATCGGGCCAGCAAGAAGAAGATGCTGGGCACGCAGCAAGGAGGAAGTAGGGCTTGGTGTTGGGGAGCCTCAAGGACAAGCACACAGTTGCTGATGTTGACTGATGAGTACTGCTGCTGCCGCTGTTGCGCTGCAGCCACTATTTCAACCACGATGGCTATGCATCCACCTGCTGTTACTTTGATTATCGTCGCGATGACGTTGCCAGCATCACACCAGGTTTAGCATGAAGTGGCAGGGTTTAGCAGACACAATGCCGACGGTGAAGAAGGCAGTAGCACTCAATGGTTACATGGTGGTACTCGACAAGGAAGTGGTACTGTATTGGTTCGCAAGAGTTGTGAAAGTAAAGGCACTATCGGCCTCTTGGCCTTTATATAACCACACCCAGACATTTACCGCCGCAAGTGCAGCCAAGGAAGGAGTGAGGCGGCGCTGTCGCAGGGCCGGTAGCTACAGCGGAGGGCCGCATTTGTTTGTTAACAGGTTCAGGGATATCTCGGCTTTTAGGGCTTATACTTTCGTGGTGCTGCGAGTTTCAGCGGAGTCAGCGGCACTCTTCTTGGCGGCAGCCCTGTCCTGCCCTTCGACAAACATAGGCCAGAGATTGGCCTTTGTGATATCAGAGGTCCCGTTCGGACACAGACCTGATGAGCCGGACCACAGTGTGATTAACCCTGTGCTTTTCATGTCCTTGGACATTGGTTTGGAGACTGTCTTCAAGAGCTGTGCAATTGGCAAGAAAAACGGCGCAGCTGCAGGGACACGACGGAACAGGGTGAGCGCCCAAACCCAGAACAGTGCCTAGGATCGGTCGTCCGAATCCCTGAAGCTCTGAACAGTAGCCTCGGAGTCCCATTGCCTATTGCCTTTGTCATAGTTGGGTAACCCTTTACATTTTTATGGGTACTTTAAGGAATAGAAATGAAGATTTTTTCATTTTCAATCCTATCCCAACTCACCATGACCTAGTTACCCCGATGCTACGAAGCCTACACTCCTCAGTCCAGCCGCACATTGTTTGATGGAGCTGCTGTTCGAGTTCGGTGCCGGCGTGACCTTTCGTGTGCGCGAGTCCAGAAATGGCCCAGCTGGAAATTTCCTCCCAAATTGGAACTCGGGTCCCATCAAAGCCGAGCCGCAGTTCTATCATGAGTAGTTTCCGGATTCACATCAACAACCTTACTGGACCTTACTGGTAGCTGATGGGCTGATGGCTTGTGTTGCCCAGATATGCCACCGCAGCGCCCACGGCACCTACCGCCATTCCGGTGCAGCCTTTGAGCATGCAGGACCTGACGGCGCGTGTCACGCAATTCGGGTTTGTGCGGGGGACCGTTAGTGTATGTTAGTGTCCAAGTACACATGTATATATATATATATATATATATATATCGCCCATATATATATATATATAAATATAAATATAAATATATATATATATATATATATATATATATATTTTTATAGAGTCAGGTTTTGGGTCCCACATAGTTTCTGTACTAGTTTCTTGCGCGGAGATACATGCTGTCAAGAACCTTGGGCTCTTCTCAGGGCTGGGGCTGTGGATCCGACTGTCTTGGGGGTGTAAAACTCGGGCCTTTGAAGCAGAGCCAGGCCCACATCCAGGCCCAGATCCAGTTCCAGGCGGTCGGCTTTGCGACTGTTTCGATGCCTGCGCCAATCCTGTCGTTAAGAGATCCTTAACCCCAAACCCCAAGTACCTTCAAGGAGACACCCTCAGCCTGAGGCCTAAGGCCCGACCCGAAACAAGGATCCCAAAGCCTGATCCCAAAGCCTGAACCTGGACCCGCAGCCTCATCCTCTCCAAACCGCCTCCTTGCCACCGTCTTGCTCACTCTCTTTGGCCCAAGGGCGCCGCATTTGTTTCGTGTTTGGTTCTGACCTAAAGTGCGTAACACATGCTGTAGATTCCATAGAACCCTGCAGTGCGCGAGGCCATATGTATAGTTCATGCCGCAGGACTACATGATATGACCAGAAGCCCTGAACCCCAAGTATGTATCTTGACTTGAGCCTCGTTCGGAGTTGCTAAACCGATGGTCTCTCCTGCTCTCCCCTTCTGATGAAGGGCTCGGAGTTGCACACAAGGATTATGAACACATGCAGATGCGTAGGTCACTTACCCTCCCAAGTGCCCGGAGACCCTCAACCCCCCAAAAAATCTGCCCCATCCGGCGGAGTAGCTTTGCCATGGCGGCATCAGTCATGTAGTGCCTGCGGTGAGGCGGGATTCTTCAAGGTTCAGCAGATACTGTGAACGGTACATGATAGTACATGCAGTAACCACACCATTGAGACAATGGCAGAGGAACTGCAGCGGGGACAAAATGGTCGTGTTGATCAGAAGTGTCAGAACACGAATAACATCACGACATTAGTAGCAGCTGTGAGAATGCGATTATTTCTACGATGATTTTTGCCGCTGCTGTGGCTGCTGCGCAGCTGCATCTTCTCCTTCCCCACCACTTGGCTTATAGGGTAACTATACTTATAACCCATACTGGGGGGACTTTTCACCCCACTTATAACTACCCCGAACCTCCAAGTAGCATGACCATCGTCATGCTCGTGCCTTTCTTCAGCTACAAAATGAGTTTTTCCGGCATCATCAGGATTGGGGCGGTCATTCGTTCCATGTGATATAGCTAGAGGCTGCAAGATACTGCATCTACTCTCGTGCCATCAGTTTTTCGATGATTGCCAGCATCGTCTTGCTCTCTGTAAGCTAGTTGCAAAGGTAGCAATGACGAAGGGCATGGTTGCTGCCTTTTTCTGTGGCCTGTGGGTGTTGTTGTCATCTGGTTGCGGCCCCTGTTTGTTTCTACTCCGAAACTTCCCAACCAACCCTAAACCCTAGTACAGTTGACTCGAGAGAGCCGACCTAGAACGTCGCTGCGAACCAAGAACCTCGTCTGGCTGTGTCCGAGTTGCGAGAGCGTAAACCCAAAACCCTACTCCGAAACCTCCCAAACCGCCTCGAAGTCTCCTAATTACGACTCTGCCGTCACCTTTCCAGGCATGGCGGAGCCTTCCGACCCGAGCGGCCAGGTCACGCTTGGGCCGGGCGACGATGAGGCGGCGACCACTCAGGAGGAGTCTCAACAAGAAACTCCCCAACGAGTCCCCAAAAAAGCAGAAGAGAGCCGAAGAACAGTGAAAACAAGGACAGAACGGACAGAGGAGCCGAAATCCTATGTCGAGCCATTCGATGGTGCTTAGAGATGTTCTGTTATCTGTTCGTTCCATAGATAGCATGCTGCGCTCTCTCGGAGCGGCCGCCCGGAGGATCCCCACACACCGGTGGACGAGTGCCCGGACGAGGCGGAACCGCCACCTCCGGCGGAGGAGGCGTGGGAGTCGCCAGAAGCTCCACCTCCCGAAGAGGCTGCATGGGAGTCCTTACGAGAGGAAGAGGACGGCGAGGACGAGGACGGAAGCTACGTCCGAAGTGGCTCTCGAGGGGAGCTCGAAGTCCTCGATGTGAACTTCTGCGGCCGGGCGAGGAGGCGGCTGGCGCGGCACGCGCGCCGGGCGAGGATACCGCTCGTCTCCCGAGCGCTGGTGGTCGAGGAGGAGTTCGTGGATGTGGACGTCGTGACTAACGAAGTCCACGACGCCGAGCCGGACCGCACCTTACGCATGGAAGTCTCAGACAGCGAGGACGATCCCGAGGCGGACGACGTTTCCAGCCTTGCGGCGCCTCGGGCGCCGCCGCCGCCTCCGGCGAGGCGGATGCCCGCACTGCGCAGCGCCGCGCTGAGCATCAACTCGGGGCGCGAGGTCCGCCTGGCGCCACGCTCCCAGCGGAAGCCGAAGGCCAAGGCCAAGTCGCGAGCTGCGGCCTCCACGGCCTCGGCGCTTTCGGGGGCCTCCACGGCCTCCACGGCCTCGGGCTCCTCTGCAAGGCGGGGCCAGGACAGCTTTGACACGCTGCCCACCTCTTCCACGGAACGGCTGGAGAGCGACGGCTGGGGAGCAGCTGGCTTCCCGTCAAGCTACAGTCTTTTTGCTTCATTTTCTTTTTCATTTGCATGCTGTGGAGATCCATGAAGAAGCTAGAGAAGCGGAAAGGAGATGTAAACTCACCAGAAGTAGCACCAATGGGGTAGTGGTGGTGGTAGTAGTAGTAGTAGTAGAAGCAGGAGTAGTAGTAGTAGTAGTAGTAGGAGGAGGAGTAGTAGTAGTAGTAGTAGTAGTAGTAAGTGGTAGTGCAATTTTTATTGCGAATCTTGTTGTTATTGTTACAATTGCGCCTTATTGATACTTTGGTATATAATACTACTATCGCAATTTGTTGTTGCTTCTTTTGCTTTCATATTGTCATTCATAACATTCGTGGTATGATACCTTTTGTTATCGACAGCAGCTACTTAGACTTCGACTCCCCTAAACCCGAAACCCTAAACTCTAAGCCCGAAACCTTAAACTCTAAGCCCTAAACCCTAAGCCCTAAACCCTAAGCCCTAAACCCTAAGCCCTAAACCCTAAGCCCTAAACCCTAAGCCCTAAACTCTAAGCCCTAAACTCTAAGCCCTAAACCCTAAGCCCTAAACTCTAAGCCCTAAACTCTAAGCCCTAAACCCTAAGCCCTAAACTCTAAGCCCTAAACTCTAAGCCCTAAACTCTAAGCCTTGCATTGGAGCCCCAGGTTTCGAGGCCCAGCCCTCCTCGTCCTCCTCCTGGGCCTGGCGAGACGACGAGGAGCGGAGTTTGCCGCCTTTGCTGCAGGCCCTGGCCCGGCTAGAGCTCTTATAGATCCCCTTAAAGGAACACTACAGAACCGCTAGAGAACCTAAAGGATCCCTTTAAAGCTTGGGTATTGGGGATCTAAGTTGGGTACGGCCCCCACTCAGTAATAGTTGAACCATATTCATATTTTTAGGTGTATTCGGACCTTAGTAGTAGCCCTATTATAGACTCTTACTGTAAGGGGGCCGTACCCTTTACCGTTGTATGGAGGGTGCAAACAGGCCGGCTGAACGCACATGAGAAATGCACGCACAGCGACACCGATGCACCCGAGAGTCCTGTTCGCGAGTCCGGTTGACGACTGCCCGTTTTAGGCGTCGCAAAAAGAGCCGATCCTATGTGCCATGTCGCCTTGACACATCCACTGAAAGTCTGATAGCCAGTTCCCTGGCATTGTTGGCCGCACGGAGAGACCTGGTGAAGCAAACGTAACTCCCAGCCAGCGAAGATGCGGGACCGCCTTGACTTCCAACCCCGGCCAAGGCCGAAAATTGTAGCGCTGGCCCAGTTGCTTGAGAGCAGCTTTGAAGATGGTCACCAACTGTGGAATCCCGCACGGTAGCAAGGCATCCAGGGCCTGAGGCAGCGGTATGTACACCAGGTCGTTCTGTCTTCTGTGTTGGACCAGAGGCGGGGCGCGCGTGGTCCAAACAAAATGAAACAATAACTCCAGGAAAGACACTTGGCCGTCTTGGCTCACTGGCACTGGCAAAGTGGGCCAAACAAGCACGCGCATCCAGTCGAGCAAGTTCTCGCCAAATTGTTGGCCTAAGCTCCATCCGGCCCAGTCTAATTCCAACACATCCGGTAGCTGGCAAGTGCCAGATGGCACCTGCCACCTGCCGTAACGTTCCAGAAGATGCTGCAGCTGGTCTGAGGCAGCCGTCGGTGTAGGTAACTGTACTTTTTTGGCCTCGCCTCTCAACTTGATATCCAACACACCAATGTCGACCAAGGCGCGGCAGAAAGAGCGGAGCAGGCCCTGGTGATGATCACAGTGGGAGGCAACCTGTTGCGCAGTATCCTTGATGTAGTCGGGCAAGGAGGCAAAAGCGGCCTTTGCTGCCGAATCTGCCGCCTCGTTACCATAGGTGGCCCAACGGTCCTCAGTAGACATCTGCTGTACTTCCTGAGCTGTGCGATGCGCCTTGACTTTGTGCAGAGTACATGGTCGGGCGGGGCTCACCTCATGAAACAGATCAGCGAAAGCTCTATGTCGCACAGCTGGGAAACCTTCTCGATGCCACTCTTCCCATGCATCTATGGCAGGCTGGCAATCTGCATAAATGTCCACGGCACACGGGGTCTGGCTTGCCCATGCTGCAGCCCAGATTATCGCTGAAAGTTCTGCGCGAGGCACCGACTGTTCACCAGGAACACAACCCTGTGCAAGGATCTGAAAGCCAGCTGTCTGAGCACCTGGCACACCATTTGCAATCTCCTGTTTCCACTCAGGATCTGCCCGAATCACTGCCCATGTGGCGACTCTGGCCTGGGCAGTGTTGTTGTACTGAGCACTGCCGTCCGTAAAAAGACAAAGCTGCGATGCTGCCGCTGCTGGCGACGCCAGGGGCGGCAACTTCAACCCTTGCAGTATGAGCTTCAAGAGGGGAGCCTCACTTGGTAGCGGAGCAAATGTCATATGTGTCCAATAGGGGCAAGAGCCCTGTACTTGCTGGAGCACGGTCTGATGCTCCTGGCGAGCCGCATCCAGTGGCTGACACTCGAAGACCCTATGTGCCTTTGTATCCTGCTGACCACACAATGGGCAATGCTCGTGGTCCTCCCGTGACCATGAAGCTTTCTCAGCTCCTGACATAAAGCCACCGGCGACATGTCGAAGCAGGATCTTCTGCTCCCAGGGCTTAAAGGTCCTAAGGGCTTTGTGTGTGGTGATGGCGTCCGGGGCTGGTGCTCGCTGCAAACCGGCTCTATGCAGAACCTGGTTCTGGACTTCATCTGCCCACGCCTGTTGGACGGCCTTTTGGATCTGCTGTGGAGGCGTGCGAAAGACATGAAAGGCGCAATGCAGGGGGCCCTTACACCAACCATCCGCTTTCGGTACCCAATTGTTGCGGTGCAGCAAGATCTGCAGGGCGCCAGCAGGGCCGCAGACGGAGCGCTGGGAGGTGTTCAACGTGATCAAACGATGCCACACTTGTCTTGCAAGGGACGGGAACAGGTCCGCCATCCTGCGGAGTTGCCGTAGGTGATGGCCCAAGAGGTAGACTTCAGGATCAGTGGCTCCTGGGGACAAGTACAGGGCAGCATGAGGGGACACAGTATGATGGTTACCCACAAGCGCTCGGGCAGCGTGGCCTCTGAGCTTCTGCATGGAGGTGAGGCAAGGGCTAAGCCCCTCCGTCCCAAAGAAGAGGAAAGGCCAGATGCCGCCCTGGAGAACCCTGGCTTTAACTTTGAGGCTTTGCGGATCCTTGGCCAGCTTTCCGAGTCGGGCAATGGCATCTTCTGTGCGGTCGGTGAATCCGGTGCGAACGGGCTTCCGGCTAAACTGCAAAAAGGAGCCCAGCTCCCGCACATGTGACACCACTGGTAAGCGGAGCCCGTCAGGGAGGAAGGTGGGGCCAATGTCACGCCACCAAGTTCTGGAGACAGGTTGGGTGCCCCAGACGTAGGTTTTCCCCCAATCCACTTCTAATCTCAAACCTTCTGTGAGGTCGTGTAGGACCAACAAAGCCGGGCCGTGACAATCGGGCATGTCTGTGGACCAGGTCCAATTGTCCATGTAGGTGCGGGCTTGCACGAGACCGCTCAGGGCTGACACGAAGACAAAGCAGATGCCCAGCATGGCAAGCACGGAAACCGGGTCGCCCTCCGGCGCGCCAGTTGTGGAAGGAAGGCCAGCGCTGAGGCTACCATCAATCTCAAAATGTCTTTGGACTTTGCTGAGACAATCCCGCCAGGTTTGGCAGACAGTGGCAGGCACGCCAAGGAAAATCATGGCCTGAGCAATGGGGCACCTGGGCAGGAAATTGAAGGCCTTACGCAAATCCAGGGACAGGCCTGAGAGATCAGTGCCGTCCAGCAAACTCTCTTCCAGCTCGGCTTGAATGCTGTAGCTCAGATCCACGACGGACCGATGCTTAAGGCAGCCGGCAACACCGCAGGGCAGCGTATAACTCCAGACCTTTAGCACCTGTGTACAGAGGACCCGTGTCCAGAGCCTGTACAGGCAACTAAAGATTGTGATGGGTCTTGCTTGCGATGCGCAGGAGGGGGCCTCTACTTTGCTCAAGACTGCTACCCTTCCACGGAGGAGATCAGCCGGGAAGCATGCTCGGCCAGGGCAGTGCAGAACTACTGCTAAATCATTCAAAGCCGCGAGAGGAAGGACCCTGAGCTCACTATTACTCCACCCGCAAACGCCTCTAGCCTTGTGGGGGGACAGCCGTTTAGCCACATGCTGCCACGCTTGTGCATCCAACATGTTGACCTCGAAGGGCGGGCAAGGGCTGTGGAGGCGATGAAGCAATGTGGAAAACTGGGACCAACGAGAGATATCTGCCTCCTCGGCTCTGGTGTCTCGGTTCCAGATTGGATGCCAATAATCCATCAAAGCTCCTACGACACCTTGCCAAGAGCAGTCCCTTCTGGACCTCACTAGCTGGCCTCGGAGTGGGAGGACAACATCATCGTCTTGAGGAAAGAGCACTGTTACCTCGTTGCCTTGTTTAGCTGTAACCTGGCCCGGGACAGCGCAGTAAAAGACCTGACAGAGAAGATCAAATTTGGTCGCGTCTGGCACGTGAAAACTGCGCAACTGGTGGCTGTGAAAGCAGCAGGTCTGCACTTCCTGACACGATTGCACCTGGACAGAGTGGAAGGGAGGCTTGCTCGGGGGGCGGATTCTGGCAAATGTTTTGGAACAGCCGTAATCTTTCTCATCCACGTCAAGCTTAAAGCGGAACATGGCATTTTTCATTTTTGCCTGTTGGCGATTAAGGGCCTCCACATCAAATCTGACAAAGCTGATCAAATCTTCTAGGTAAGGCAGTGGGGGAAAGCCGGTGGGCCAAGTAAGAAAACAAGGCCATTGCAGCACCCAGGAAGGAAAGGTCCGTCCATAGCCCGGGGCCTTGGTGATGGCCTGCCACTCTCTGTGCAAAGAAACGGGCCAGCCATCATGGGAGTAGGCCCCCTTGAAAGTACCTGCCTGGTGTTTCAAGTAGCCCTGACGGAAAGTGACCAAGCGGCGTAGCTGCCGGAGCCTTTGTCGGCCAAGGACAGTCGTGTCCTCATCGAATGGTTCCGGGTCCCCGTTGCGGCCTGCTCGGGGCAGGCGAGGTGGGCATGCCACTTTGCGGTCAACCTGTCGGCAGCGGCCACGGTAGGCAGTGGGGAGGCCTTTGACGGGCTGTTTGGTGGGATCCGCCCTGTTCTGCTGTTGGAGGGCTGTGTGCACAGCTTCCTCAACCGTAGCGGCCCACAAGCGGAGTTGGTCCCCATCCTGGTTTTCCTGCACCTGGTGGCCAAAGACCGGCCGCACGTTGTGTGCTTGCCGCACGTAGTGCTCTTCAAGATCAGAGGTCTGGCGTAACAAGTCGGTGAAGGTTTTAGGCGCAGGCCAGATCCATCTCGGCACCATGGGACCAGGCACACGGGCCGTACCTAAGGTTCAAGAGGTTCGAAAGGCGGCCAAGAATGTTTTGTAAAAGGTTTGGGACTAGAGGTTTAGAAGGGTTGAAAAGTTTTGAAGGCTTTGGAAGGTTTAATAGGTTTGACAAGTCTCTTAGATTTTCCAAGTTTAGAGTCAGAGATTTTTGTAGGGGTTTTCGGTGCGAGGTTTACGGTATAGAGTCTGGAGAGGGAGCTTAAGGCTTTCGGGTCGTTTATCGGTTCTATTGTGAAGGGTCAAGTCGTACAGTGGATTCAGGGTTCGTACAAGGGCTCAATAGGTCTTGAAGCTTTGCAGTTTCAGGATTTTGCGGTCTCCGGGTTAGGGTTTTGGCCGAAGGCTTAAAGTTTATGGGTCAGGGTTCAAGGGCTTAGGAGAGAAGGCCTTGGGAATGGATGGGTAGTATACAGTACGTATAGAGGGCTGGAGAATGGCCTTTTGTTGCGAGATTCGGCTTGTCGTTGGCAACTTAGTAGGTGGTTTTGGCGACATGTGATTTGGCTGCGGGCGTGATGGAAGTTTCGGCTTTTCAGTTTGCAGACTGCAGCTAAGCTAACGGTGCAGATGCACTCGAGTTGTCCATGAAGCCTGAAACCCAAAACGCCGAACGCCCAGCACGAGAGTCCATGCATCGAGACCTGATAGCCATCTGGTAGTCTAGACAGTCTTCAGAGCCTCAGGTGCCGTTATCTCCAGACAATGCGAGTCCTGCGGAGGAGCCGGGACATGTGCCCACAGCTGTTGCATTCCAAAGGGATCGGTGTCTCTTGTGTGCCCGAATGGATTCCTCACGATAGCTACCGAAGCTCTGCACTCCTGATCAGTTTGTAAGGCAGTAAGAACCGTCATGGGAATGGTCGTCGTCGGAACGGTTCAAGAGTTGCCGATGACTCCGTGATGGTATTGGTACGGTGAAGTGGCGTCTGTCGTTGTCGTTGTCGTACCAGTCGCGTCGTGACATGCTCGTAGTCACATCCAAAATCAATAGAATCTTCGCATGATGTGTCAGGCACTTGCTCCAAGCCCTCTACTCCTGCACATTGAACCAGCTAGAGATTGGTGAATGCTGAACACCCTCACATAAAGTCTCTGCACCCGGGGGTTCCTTCCTCTCGCATGAGGACACCGTGGACCAGAGCCTTCCGGAGTCTTGGTTCCAAGACCCGGAGGAGGCAGAGGTGGCCAGTGCTCCTGCAGGCGACGCCCAGGAGGGTGCGGGCCCCTCGGCTCTGGAAGTGGGGACCAGGGTTGAAGGGGGAGCGAGGGTCTGACGCGGTTTCGAGCTTCCCGGTAACCGGGCATGTCCTGAACCAGAAAGCTATGCAGGTATTACATCTTCAAATGTAGCGGATCCGAAGAGGCAGTTTTCCATCGGAGAGCTGTTGAGGCCTTTCCGTGATCTATGTGGAGCCTGTCAGGCCCCGTTGCTGCAAAACGTAGCAGCTGCAACAGCGGCTGGAGAGCAGGAGAAGGAGAGGGAGAGAGTCGCAACCGCAGTGCAGGCATCGATGGTAGCAGAGAAGAGCGCAACATGTTCAAGCGGATGATGTCATGAGTCTACCCCCAAGCCCTAAACCCTGAACACATCTGAACACCTTGAATCCTCAACCCGGAACCCGAGCCCAGAGCCCTTTGAAAATTCCCATAGAGGCCCGGGATGGAGCCTCGCCACTGCCGCGAGTGCCACGCTGCCTTCGCCATGGGTGACCTCCGCTTCCCAGCTTGCAGCAGTGGTTTCTGTTAGACTTCACGAGGTTTTCGGCTGTTATGTCAGCACGGGTAAGCAAGCAATTGCACAAAGGATCAGGTACCAGTATGCACACGTGCACGTATCTCGCAACTAGCCATAGCGCTTTCCACCGAATTTGAGTCAGCTCAGAACAAGAGTCGTTTCATCGGATTTCTATACTTCAGTACCATAGCCGAAGCTAGACCAGAACTCCAAAAGACCATTCCAAACTTGCCCAATCTTCCCGCTCTCGGCTTCACCAAATCATACCAAATCCCAAGATACGCGTGCTTGCAAAGAGCGGGAAACACCGGAATACGAAGGGCGCAGAGTTGAAGTACTTGTAGGAAGACGAGTCATACACTTCTGATCAAGTCAGGCTGCCCATGGTGATCCGAACGCGGCCATGAAAACAGCACCGCCAGGAAAAAAGCGAAGTCCAACATGTAAGTCCTCATTACGATATCGGTCAGAAACCAAAAGGGTAGCACGGGCCAGCAGACTCATGGAGAGATGCAGAGTGAAGAAGAAACAGTTTATCTATATGCATGAAGGAGTTCCGTTTTGGACACGGACCCAAACCAAGAAGACACAGCGCAGGTTTGGGCTACACACCCTGCGGTGTAACGGCCGACGGCCGTCAGTTTCTCCCGGTCTGGGTGCACGCCTTCACCTGCGCCCGGAGGGCACGGCTGGCCATACGATTTGATGGGGAGACCCTGCATGCAGTTTTGGGGCAGCTTCGCAGGTTTAAGGGCTTGTTCGAACTGTGTGAGTGGTGGCTCTTTGTGGTCCCGACAAGCAACAGGAGGCGATCTGAAGCCTCAAGCTCCGAACCCGACATCCGCAACCCTCAACTCCTTTAGGTTTGAATTCGGAACTTGGGGGGTTGCGCGGTTTTCGGTTTCGGCTCAAGGATTTTGGGGATCCCGGACCCGAAACGCCGCAAAACCACGCACCTACAGGCCCCTAGCCCTGAGCCTCTTATATAACCAGGAAACCCTAAACCCTAAACCCTCAACCCTCAACCCTCAACCCTCAACCCTCAACCCTACCTAAACCCTACCCCTCTTTCTCAGGAATCTGCCAGCTTCAGCCCGGCCGTGTCTCTTGCGGATCGGAACCGCCTTGTGGAGGAGCTGCGGCAGGCGGTTCATGCGGTTTAGGACAATATGGGAGTTTCCGAAAATAGGGGACCCTAATATAGTGAATAGGGTTTCGGGGCCCATTATACGGTAATGTTGAGAGCAGAAGCGTATATGTAACTATTTAGGCCCCTACAGTAGGCAAGGCATTATTTTTCATGAAGGCTTCGGAGTGTTTACAGGGATCTTAGAGGGCCTGTGGAAATTGGGGCTCCTTTGTCTAGGTGTAGGTCGGATCCTTCTTCAGTTCGGACCGATTTAGGGCCAACGTTACAGCGGTTGAGGCCCCAGAAGGATCAAGGATTCGCGGACTTGATGATCGAGTCCCTAGGTTGAGCAGCCGAATTGGGAAGTTGTAGCCCCGCTTGCCAACTACGGTTGATGATATAAATCCTGCATGACCTACGATAGGGAATATAATATACCATAATTCCCATAGTTTAGGGTCCTTCAGGTAGCATCAACAGTGGGGCCACTTCACCAAGCCTGGCTAGAGCCAGCTCCAGGGCTGTCACCCTCTACACCTCGAGCCCGAAGCCCGTGTTCCCAGAACCTAAGTACTCCTCGCCGCAAACCCCTCAACCCAAGACCCTCAACCACTCTCAACCGATGACCCGAAGCCCTCAACCCCAAAGCCCTGAACCCTAAAATGTGCAACACACCCTAGAAATAGGAACAAAAACATTTTAAACTAGGAACAAAAAATTGAAAGAATGACCAAGAAAACAGTTTAAACACTATTAAAAAACATTAAAGGGGACCCAAAAAGAGCCGGAGGTCCACCAGTTCTTGGCACTTCAGCATCGCTCCCAGCCCCGCCAGCTCTGTATCCGGCCTTGGCGCGCCTCAGCTGAACCCTTAACCCCTAAACCCCTAAACCCTAGCGCCGAAACCCTAAACCCTAAACCGTAGGGGCTTTAAGTGCGAGTCAGATGTCCTGGCGTGACCTTGCAAGCCAGTTGCAAAAAGGGTTTTAAGTCTAGGGCTTGCAGGGGTTTGCAGGGATTTCCAGGGTTTCTAGGGCATTGGGGAGTTTAGGGGTTCCGGTTTGGGGCTTTCAAAGGGTGACGATAGGGTTTCGATGGGGTTTCAAGTAGGAAAAGCAAAATATCAGTAGGGATGCAAGTGGCTTTCCGTCGGGTGTCAGCAGCGGGGTTTGTAATGGCAATGATAGGGTTTCCAAAACCGGCACACCTTTCGCTGCGGATAGCGCGTGAGTCCGGTCTTGCTGCTCTTACTTAGCCCTAAACCCTAAGCCGCGGCTTCAACTATGAAGGATATGTCCCATCGGTTCTTCAGCGCTGGCCGGTGATCCGCTTGCAGCCGGGTGCGCCAGACTCGAGCGAGTCACGGCCGGGATGGCGCATACCCTCCCCGCCCCGGAGGAGGGCTGGCTTCTTTTGTGTCGTTCACAAAAATAGCCGGCGCTACATTCCGGAGAGGGTTAAAGTGCAGGAGGAGATGCTGATGCCGGTGTTTTCCAAGGTTGAGGTGGACAAACTAGGATTTAGACTCATTCTGCCATCCTTCGCGGCATGTTGAGAACAGGTCGAATTCGGGGAAACTAACTCCACTTTATACTGTATACTTTATCTGGGAACCTGAATCGGTCGTGTTACAGCATGTGCTGTGTATACTGTAGGTGTTTGTCCGACACGAACTGATGGGCGAAGTCGTGTCTCTCGAAAAGACAGGACATCGCCTCCTCGACGGGCGCCTCGCCGACGAACACCTTCGCCTCCTACAGGTCTGGGGTCCACAACGCTTCAACATTCCTTTGCAGCTTTCGCTTAGGGTCTACGGCCGAGGGTTTTGGGAGCAGGCTTTCCAAAGTGCTGAAAACCTTACAACCCCAAACCCTGAACCCTCTTTCGCTCCAGTTTTTCTGCCGACTTTAGTTTTTCAAAGCGGTCTTTCAAACCTGTTGCCTTCCCCTTCATCGTCTGGGAGGCGAGAAGCCTTGAGCCCAGGGTTCGGATAAGCCAGTCTATGACGGAGTACATCAGCATTTTTCCACGGCAATGCGCAAAAGATGGGTAAATGTCTGGCAGAGGGCGGCGCAGAGTCGAGCATCATGTTTTAATCCTCATGAGTTTAAATTGGACGAGCCATTTTTGGCACTGCAGGCCGCTCGGGAAACAGGAACTGATTAGGGACCCCAAAAGGGCATAAGCAAGAAGCATTTTCTAGGGATGTCCCTACCTTACTGGGCTTGATGAAAAGGGGGTTCATATGGGATATCCCTATGCTAATTTTTTGCTCATGTGCTTTTTGAGGCCCTAAATGAGCCTACATTTTTTTAAAAAGGAGCCTGAGCCCAGCTCTTGCTGCCACGGCTGCTCATCAGAGCCTCGCGGACTCCTAGTCTTCGCCCCCCGAAGCCCCCCTAAACCCTGAAGCCTGAGTGATTGTGCTGCCAAAAAATGCGCAGGCTTTGAGCTCAGAGTGGTTGTGCTGCAAAAGCAAAACTAAAAAAGCCATAGCCATCAACAAAACAACCCTAGACCCCAAACAAAAACAGCCCTAAACCTTGAACCTTGAACCCTAGACGGAGGGAGAAAAACCCTGAACCCTAATTCCTGGCTGTGTCCGAGTTGTGAGAGCGTAAACCCCTAAACCCTAAAACCCCACACCCTCCAGCAGGGGTTCCCTTGAAGAGCGGCAGGTGTGGTCGAGGCCTGGTCTGAAGATGAGATGCTGGTGGAGGCTGGGTTGTGCTTTGGGATAATTTTTTAAATTCCCCTTATTTCCTTCTAAAGGGAACCTATTCATAAATAACTTTCAAAGGGTTTAAAGCACAACCCAGGAGGGCGACGCCCAGACGCCCATGGTGCAGCAGGTGCTCGCGCAGCTTCTCCGATCGGCCTTGGGAGGGATCTTCTTCTGCTTTTTCTTTGTGTTAGATTTCATTTCTAAAAGTGTTATTGTGTTTCTTTGTTTTAGATGCCACTTTTTTGAAAAAGGGTTAATTATGGAGGCTGGCATGAGGTTTATGGGCTTTTGCTCCTTTTTCCTTGTGAACGGAGGCTCGTCTCCGGCCGCCTGGCTGCTGCTCCGATGCAGTCGCTCGACGACCTGCCGATCATTCCAAACTTCTTGGCCTCCAGCTTTACTACGAGTGCCGAGTCCTCCTCCTCTACAATTACTGCCACGACGGTTCGCCTCCTGGCAGAGGTCCCCGTCTTCAATTCCGAGAAGAAGTGCGAGGAGCCTTGCGTGGTGTGCCGCGATGATATCACGGTGGGCCAGGAGTGCCGGCGCCTTCCGTGCATGCACGTCTTCCACAAGGAGTGCATCGATAGATGGATTGCCGTCAAAGCCACCTGTCCACTTTGCAACCTTAAGCTCGAGGATTTGCTCAGAGAACAGCATTCCTTGGAGAACGGCGAGGAGCCAACACCGAACCTCCGTCGCTCCCCCTCCCGGTCACGGTCCCCTCCCAGACCTGTATACAGACCCAGTGGCCCACCAAGTGGCCCCCCGGGAGGTCCGCGCAGAAGCCGATGGGACCTTGGTCAAAACGACACCTGGCGCTCCTACCGTTGGGGTCCACCGGGCGCACGGCCCGTTGCTGGAAGTTGGCCCGCGAATGGCTGGGTCCAAAATCCAATGGGCCAGATGGGTCAGAGAAGCCCTTGGTCTGCGATGATGGGGGTGCCGGTGCAAAACCAGTCCTTCCAGCAGATCGCAACGCCAGGGTCCATGTCTCAAAGTCAGGGACGGCCCATGCCTGCACCGCCTCCACCGGCACCCGAAGCAAGACCACCAGCATGGTCTCCACCCATGATGCCGGTGCCTGTCCCCATGCCCGTTTTCCAAGCCAGGCCGGTCGTTCCCCCAGGCTTTTTACCGGGCGCCCCACCCATCCCACCGCCGCCTCCACTGGTGCGACCTGTGCTACCGATGCCTCGATCACGGTCACCTCACGAAATGCGAGGGCCTGATCAGCAATGGTAGTTGTCGAGGTAGCTTTGCACTCCCCTGATCCCTCTAATACGTCTCTACCTAGTCGTTCTAGCTGCTAGCTTGCAGATGGCACAGAAGCGCTGGCCGCCACCCGTCAAAAGTGCTGGGATGCTGACTCGCAAGGCCCCAAGTCCTGAAGCTTTCAGAGAGGCCGTCAGCTTGCCTAGCAACCTTCCAGCTAAGGCTGGATTCCGCTAGATGAACTTGGCTCACTAACTGCCTCTGAACGCTGTAGCTGAGATGTAGTTATCAGTGGTCGTTCGCGAGGTAGCCTGATGACGTGCTTGCTGTACATGCTTACCCTTCACTTCAACACGTGGGTGCCATGCGAAGACTATGTGACAGCATGGTCGACTGTGGCGCTTTTGTGGTGCTCCTCTCACAGCTCTTTCTTTCCTTGCTGAAGACGAAGCACCTCCAAGCGTTTGGGGGTGCATCTAAACGGCAGTAAGTTCTGCCGTTTCTCTACGACCGCCGCCCATCCAGGCGCAGATGCAGGCACAAGCGCAGCAGGCGGGCTGTGAGGGCCGGGTCCCGGGTACTGCACGTTGTTGACCTCACTGAAGATTCTTGAGCGATTCTGCAAATTTTGACCAGGCCGCTAAATCGCAGGTTTTGGGATGTATGGTATTGAAAAATGCTGAAACGATATGCCTCGGGCGCTCTCCCCGCAAGACCCCAAAATGGTTAACATGTGCGAGTTCTAGAAGATCCACAACGTGGTGTATAAGAGCCTCTACACAACAAATCTTGCCTTCAAGAACCCGCAAGTGCATCGAGGGGCTTCTGCCTTCGTTGACGGCACCGTATATATCGGATCAAGAGTCTCGGAACCACCTTCATGCTTTCATGACTGCTGCTACTGCAACTTCTGCTTCCGCTGCTACTACTACTGTTATTGTTATTGTTGTTACCGTTAGGAGCTGCACGACTGCTGCTGCCGTAATTGCTACTGCTGCTGTTGCTACAACCCATCAACAACAACTACTACTACTGCAACTACAACTGCAACTACAACAGCAACTACTACCACCACCACCACCACCACCACCACCACCACCACCACCACCACCACCACCACCACCACCACCACCACCACCACCACCACCACCACCACCACCACCACCACCACCACCACGAACGACGACGACTACTACTACAACTACTACTACTCCTGCTGCTACCACGACGACGATGACTGCTACTACGACTGCGACTACGACGGCGGCTACGACTGCTACAGCTACTGCTACTGTCATCACTGCTGCTACTACAAAAACTACCACCACTACTACTACTGCTACTGCTGCTGCTACTACCGCTGCTGCTACTGCTGCTGCCACTGGTACTGCTACTCCTGCTACTACGTACTACTACTGCTACTGCTAGAAGCTACCGTTGCTTGAACGAACAAGAGAAACTAAGCAGTACAACTAACTCAGGCTGCAACAACAAAGCCGTGATATAATCAGCTTTTCAAGTAGCCCAGCAGTCTTGTAAACGTTTACGGTAGTAGCAGCAACCATGGTACTCTAAGACAAGACCATGCCTCTGTCTGGTCCGGCTCTAACGGCGCCGCCGGCAGCGCTGGCGCCACTGGGACTCTAATGCTGAGCCCAAGCCCAAAGTGTTCACTTTTAGTTTAATTTTGAGTTTTACATGTCAAGAACAGAATCATGCCTACCGAATTATTCGAACCATTCATCTAGAACTCCAATAATATTATCATAGAAATGTACGTTAAAAATGTTGTCAAGCAAGAACATGTCCTTCTTCTAATGTATCACTAAAGCAGTCTAAATCTCATATTTAGATCCGTCTTTTACATCTAGCTGGCTTGTCATGCGTTTTTTCGCAAATAACCCCCACAGCATTCCATGGCTGTTGCTGCCGGTAGAACCAGCAGGATCATCACTGCCACTCGAGGCTGTCAGCAGCAGGGAGGGAGAGAGACAGAGAGAACAGAGAGAGAGAGAGAGAGAGCGAGAGAAGAAAGAGACAGAGATCCCCGAACGAGGCCACGAGGACAGACCGCTGCGCGTCATAGGGGTAGGCCCTCGGGCCAGGGCGCATGCGCGTATGCACTCGCACCCTTTGCAAGCAAGCAAGCAAGAGGGGAGCGGTCTTGTCTACATCCTCCTCCTAAACTCCTAATCCTCGTCGTTTACATCTTCACCTTTTCCTTCATCTCCATTCTCAATCCTTGTCAGAATCCTGCTCCTTGTCATGCGTCCTCATCTTCTTTCTCTCATGCCTTGATGTGTCTGGACCACTGAAGGTCGCCGAAGTGAGAATGAGTCTGCGACGGTGGTTTCGGGCCGGTAGGTTGCCCGTGCTAAGGCCTAATCTCTTCTCGACTCCACAGGCTCCGGGCCCTCACCCGAAACCCGGAAAAAAAACCGGCAAGGCCTCGAACCGGAAACTCCACATCCTGGGCTCTACTTGGAGGTTCATGGGTAGTTATAAGTAGGGTTATAGGTACCCTAATATGGGTTATAAGTATAGTTACCTTAGGTATAACGCTACTTATGATGTATGAGTTCCGATCGTTGGGGTAACCCAAGCTCGAGGCGCGAGTTTGCCACGCGGAAGGACAACTTCCTCCGGAAGCCGGACAAAAGTCCCAAGGCAGACAGATCAAGTGGGGGCCTGAATATGTCAAATTCTGATTATATGGTTTCTGGGCGGTTTCAGTGGTTGACAAGGTAGGAATCTTTTCGCGTGCTCTGGGAGGTTTCCCGAGGGCTTGCAAGGTTTTTGGGTTTTCTTTTTGGGATTAGACGATGCCTTTATACGGCTTGTATTGGGGTTTGGAGTGTTCATACTCTTTCTGTTGGCTTTGTGGAATGCAGGGGCCGATAGCCTGGCTCACTCGTCGAACGCAGGGTCGAGGCCTTGGCGGCAAGGGAATGATGGAACATGCTGGAACCTTTACCGAAGCGTAGACACCCCGATGATGCGGCAAAGACCACCCGCCACGAGCAGGAGGGGGGTTTTGCTCAGTACTCCGAACAAAAACAGGCCCAAGCCGAAGCCCTCATGAATATCCCTAGACACGGTGCAAAAGAGCTCCCACCTACAAAGACTTATTTAAACAACGAACGTATAAGCCGCAACACGGCCAAACCATGAACAGCCTGTACAAAAAAAGCCGCCTAAACCCAATTGCGGGCAGTTGCACGGGGATCCCGCTCATACCACTGCAACCGGTGTAGGTTCTGCTCAAGGAAGTCCCTCAACCCTTAACCCTAAACCCTAAACCCTAAACCCTTAACCCTAAACCACTCCTTGTGGCTCTGGGCGCATCTCCTACTCGGTTGTCAAGCAGGTTCATGCACAATGGATGAAAGGGTTGCTCAAGGACGAGACGGTGCATGAGATTTATGGGCCGGACTGGTTGAGACTATTCCGGAGAATGAGGGACGAAGGAGTGGACGCCTGCAAAGAGGAGCTCTCGCAGATGGTCGTATGGGATTCCACAGAACCAGAGCCTGAAGTACCAGAAGCTGAAGCCGTGCAGTCAGTGGAAGGCGTTGCGACGAGTACACCAGAACAGGAGGTCAAGAACGAAGAAGTGCCAAGGGCTACGTCACCAGCTGAGGGTAAGGGTCAATAGCCTTCTGCAATGCAGATTCCGGATACCTTTCTAGGCGGATGGAAAAAGGCGCTCAAAAAAAAAAAAAAACCCTAAACCCTAAACCCTCAACCCTTAACCCTAAACCCTAAACCCTAAACCCTTAACCCTAAACCCTAAACCCTGCCTCCTCCAGCCGTTGGCGTAGTGCTGCTGTTCCGAACAGTTGCTTCGGAGCCATGATCACTCCGAGCCAATCGTGCCAGAACCCACTGCGGCAGTGGTTTCTGACCGATCGTGGCTCGGAGTGATCATGGCTCCGAAGCAACTGTTCGGAACAGCAGCACTACGCCAACGGCTGGAGGAGGCCACCGCAGAACTGCGAGCCGAGACAGCGGCTGCAGAGATCAACAACGCGTCGTTGACGGAAGAGCTCGCCGCCTCGAGAGCGCGCGGGTATGTGGGAGCGAGCAGGGCCGCTCACGCCGCCGTTCCGACCTTGGAAGAGTTCGCACAGGTGCAGTATGCAGAAGTTCGTGGTGCGGAGATCACGCTTGCTCAGGCGACTGCTGAAGGCGCCGAGGAAGTTGCGGAGTGGCAAGCGTCTGTCGCTGCGGGCCGACACATGAGCGAAGTCAATGCGGCCGCGCTCGGCGCGCTGGAGGCAAGCGACGCCAACCTCGCCCTCGGCACTGTGGAGAGCGCCGCCGAGGCGGGGAGGCACACCGCGAACGCGGACCTCGGCGGCCTCACGTATGGGATGGCGCCGGGAGAGCAGCCGATAGTGTTCCTCGATGGGCTGCCCTGGTCGTGGGTTCTGTGCACGGAACTGGCCCAAAGTACCAGGAAGCACATCATGAACACGCCAGGGTTCAACATGGTGCCCGTGGGTCGCCGCTCACACGTCTGCGCCGTCGCCACGACACAGAACTTGAAGCTTTGCTTGCAAAGTCTGTCGAACCTCGTGGCGTGCTGCACAGGAAGCGCGGAAGTCTGGGAGACTGTCCCACTGACAATCGCCGATGGAGCAACAGCACCGACAGGCACGACACTGGCAGGCACGTGTACTGAACCGCCTTGAGCTGACATAGTTTCTGTGTACTCTATTCCGCACCGCCCTGAGCCGCCGTAGTTCCTTTGTACTATAGTGCTGTGCTGAGATCAAGAAGATCTCTCTTTTAGGAGGGGGTTGTCCTGCGTGGTACTACCTTCTGTTGAAGCTGTTTTCTGAAGAGTTTCCCCCTCTGCATTGCTGTGTCCTCAATGTAGGATACTGGTCTTCGGCTTTGCTCATCTCCTGTACTCTATGGCTCTAACTTCTGTTGCCTTGTTTTCACTAAGGAGTTGAGTGAAGCTCTTAGTCTGACTGTGCGCACCAAGAACCTCGTCTGGCAGTGTCCGAGTTGCGAGAGCGTAAACCCTAAACCCTAAACCCTAAACGGACAACCCGAAGCCCGGCGAGCTCTGCCAGGGGGACTGGGATCCCAGGGTCTCCGAAATCTGTGAGGAGTTGAACAGAAGGTGCGCTAGGAGGGCTCTACAAGGTGAAAGGTTCCCTTCTTGGATTGCGCCCAGAGACTCCAATTTTCTCCGTAGTTAGGGGATATACCTTACATCATATAAGGGATCCTATTGTTATTTGAGGAATATTCCTTAATCAAGGGATATTGGAGTCTCTGGGCCAAAGGATTCCACAGTTCGGAGTCGCAGCACCGGGGAGGGATTTCCAGGGCTGAGGGGTCAGGTTTGCACAGGTTTGTAGGAGTTTCGGGCTCGCCTCTATGGTTGGCTGGAAAGTTTTGTTTTCTGCTGCTTGCGTGCTTTGGGGCCTCTGATCCTGACCCTGGCAGGGATGACTTTTTCACCACCTCCTCTTGCTCCGGTCGCTGTTTTCTCTGGAGGGGCAGGCGCGGGTCCACGAACGGTTTTCAGGCTTGGGGTCTTTGTGTCAAGCATTGCCCTTGCAGGACCTGCTGAAAGGCGCGCATACAGGGCACTTGTCAAGCCTCTTCACGCACTGGAATCTATTTAGAAGTCTGTGATTTTTTTCAAAGACTAGCTGCTAGCCGGGCTGCTGCCTGCCCGTTTGGTCCCGCCTCGGATTGCCTAGCAGCCTAGCAGAGCTGCGAGGCATCACCAGAACGGCCTGCGAGGCTCGGACCCCTCCCTGGCTTTTGCAGTCCTTTGGTTGTCACCCGAAACCCTAAACCCTCAGCTCAGAAGACATCGGAACCCTCAACCCTAAACCCTAAAGGTTGTCCGACCAACCAAGTGACCTGAGGCTTTCAGCGCCTGCGTGTGAGCCACGATCCGGTGGAGGAAGCATGCCTCGAACACGCGTGCGCAAGTAGACGATCTCGACATGTGAGAAGTAATTAGTGTGGTAGCTGTTGTTTCACATCAGTACTGTCGGTTCCATGATGAATCTCATGCTTGTAAATTAGTAGCACGCGCCGTAATTTCTGTCACAGCGACAGCTGTGATCATCATTCCTCTAAGTCTCAACGCTAGGTACCATGGAGATGCTTGTAGCTACAGACTCTGGGTCCGATCGCTACCAACCCGATTCTTGCAGATATGTCTTGTAGCATGAGAGACCATTTGGCTGGCCTTTCCGCCACCGACGCCAATGGTCGCACCCCTCACAAATCATGCGAGATTAATCACGTCAACTGCCATCCAAGCCATCACCAAAGAACACCCGATGTGCTTCACATCCTGATATGTGGTTCCTTGCATGCGGTTCATCCTAGACTCCTAGACCCACCTGTGGTGTGGGCAACACCAGATCACCATGCTCACACAACTGTATATGCAACCGCCAGATGGGCAGTGTAGCACGTCCACATCTTCCTTGCCTTACGGGGAACGATTGCCTGCAAGCCTCAGAGCGAAGGAGGGGTTCTTCAACCTCAGAGATCTCGAGAAGGAGGATGCCCAGGGGCCCGTTTGGCTCTCGGTGCAGGCCCGGAGCTCCGGGAATTGCTTTTTGGGTGGTTGTTTCGGGTTAGGGGTCTGGGGTTCAGGGTCGGGTCTGGGCTCGTAGCGGCTAGCAGTCGTCTCCTTCTTAGGTTCGAGTACGAGCAGCAAATCAGGAGCGTTAGGGTTCCGGGTTGACTTGTCTCGATGTTTACTATTCGCAAGCTGCAGTCTGGGACGTATACGCTTGATTACGGTGCTGAGTGTTTGGCGATACGCAGCTATCTGGGACCTGTCTCGCGACAGAACACGAAACCGGAACACAGCAGTACTTTCAGCCATGCGCGGCGGTCCGCATTGTTCAGCGTTTTCAACCCAGCGAGAATTCAGGCTTTCATCCTCCATGTGTGCTGCCGCCAGCTGCGTGCGGCAAAGCAGCTCATCAACAAGGCTTCGTGGGTCGCTGCCCTTAACCGCCTTAACCCTAAACCCATGAGACCTATATGCCTCGCCTGGATTGTCCGAGTGTGAGCGCCGAAACCCATGAGATGCATCTTGAACACCGAATCCACTGTGACGACATTGCCCAGACCTTCCTTAGGCCAGCAAGCACCTGGAGTTTGCTGGGCTCTACTCCTGGCGCGCGGCCGGGGGTAAGTCCTTGAGCCAAGCAGACGTTTGTTTGGCTTTCCAGTTTTAGGGCCTTTGGGTTTTGGGACACTAGGGCTAGCTTTCAGGTTCAAGTTTGGGGATTTCGGGCTCGAGCTGGTGTACGAAGGCTTCTGCGTGTAGCAGAGGTACACGTTCGCTCAGGTTGTTCGCAGTACTTCAACTCTTGATGTCAGGTTTTTGAGCGGTAAGGTTCGAGATCTGGGAGTCTCATTTCTTTTGAGAGTTGCGCAAAGGAGAGACTATTGGAGATGCAGACAAGAAGAAGCGAAAGATCCGGAACGCATCATTTTTTGCCAGGGGCTTTAGTCCCACACTTTGGGGTTGCAAAATGGCTCAGGTTCATGGTGGAGATCCAGGGCGGCGAGCACCTGGAGTTTCCGGTGCACCGGCTACAGATGACTTGGGGTAATCCGCGGCGCAGGGTTCGGGAGAGGGATCAGCTCCCCGCGATTTGAGGTATCAGGCATCTGATAATGGCTTTCAGGACGATACCTCAATAAGGCGCCACCGGGTTTTTGGTATTTTTGGGACCTGAGCCGTAAACCTTTACCCCGTGCCCTAGCCACTAAGGTCAGCTGCAGCGGCCGTTCGCTCTTCGACGCAAGAGGACGCTGGCTCCGCGAGGCCGGGTCAGAATAAGGATTCTATAAGGGCAAGCACAAGATTGCCATCAGGGTTAACATAAGGGTCACTGTAGGCACCCATGACGTTTTTGCAGGTTGGCTCTGAGGGTTCTATCAGGTTTTGAGGTGCTTTGTAGATATTTGTAGATCTCTGTTGGGCCTTCGCCTAGGCAGGTTATTTTCGGCTGGTAAGTAGGTGGATTTTCAGGCTCTTGAGAGACAGAGAGGGATTCGAAGCTGGAGGCCTGCGGTCTGTAAAGCCTAAGCTGCAGTTCAGGACTTCTTAGGGTTTGAAGGATTCGGATTTGGGGACTCTGCGGAATGGCTTTTGTTTACTTTGGATTGTTTTCAGAGAAGTGTACACAGTACGAGCTCCTCTGGGTTATCTACCTATCCATCTATCTGTTTGTCTGTCTGTCTCTCTGTCTCTCTCTGTTTGAAGCCTTCGTCAGGTGGTGAACGCGAGGCTGCAGCGAAATTGGGACCAGATGGCTGGCTTCTTGCACGAGCTGCGGACTGAGCCATCCGCCGGGCTCTCATCGCTGTAGAAGTCTACGTGCTCTGTCCGCTTGCTGTCAGGATGATGTGCAGCAAGAGCGCAATGATTCGTGCTAGTGTTTTCGAGTTCTCGCCGTCTTAGTAGTCCACGGTAGTGCCACGGCCTGACCTGTTTGACGTCCGGGCTCCCACGAACCCATCGCCGAGGAGGCAGAGCCCCTTCTCCGCACTTCGGAGGCAGATGGACCCAGCAGCGCAGGCGGGATCTTACTGCCGCCAAAGCCTTTCTGCCCTAAGCCCTTCAACTCACAGCACCCTTATGGAACCCACTAGCGTCAAAAAAAAATTGGAACTCTTCTAGATTTCATCTAGAACATGTAGAACCCTGATAGAGCCCTCCACGGATCCGGATGGAAGTCATAAAACGATTACAGACCCCATATCGAATCAGCCCGAGAAAAAGCATATACAGCCCTGACAAAACCCTTTGAAAGCTCTACGGCTCTACAGTGAATCTACAGGTGCGGTGGTCGACCATGCCGCCTTGGCAGCGACAGGCTGCCGCCCGGGTGCGATGGCACAAGAAAACCATGGGCTTGGCATAGAGGGTTTGGGGTTGTGATCTGGAGGTCTGAACAAAGAGCTCCAATAGTGATCCATGCCCCTGAAATCTAGATATGCCCCAAATCCCAAGTTGGATTATTGAGGTCCTACATTAGGCTTAGAATTTGTCGAGCAAACAGCTTGCGGCTTTGGCCTTCGACAGGCTTTGGTCTCCGCCTTAGGATGGCAAGTCGCAATTTCGGGTTTTGCGGGTGTGTGGGTTTGGCCCCTTGTTGTTGGGGATCCTAAACCCTAAACCCGAAACTTTCCTAAACCCTTTTCAAACCTATCCCTATAACAAGCTGAGGCCTCAACCACAGGCTCCTCCTGGTAAAGGAATTCTAGCGGCCAGACAGGTGGAAAAGAGCCCTCAACAAAAACAAAAAAAACTTTCCTAAACCCTAAACCCTAAACTTTCCTAAACCCTAAACCCTAAACTTTCCTAAACCCTAAACCCTAAACTTTCCTAAACCCTAAACCCTAAACTTTCCTAAACCCTAAACTTTCCTAAACCCTAAACTTTCCTAAACCCTAAACTTTCCTAAACCCTAAGCCCCAAACTTTCCTAAACCCAAGGCCCGGCGCTGGCCGCACAGCCCGGCGTGGCCGTGCTTGGCTGCCTCCCGGCCCAGCTACGCGCTGTGCAGGCTCGGTCGATCGGGGCTCTTCAGGTTTCACGGGTCTAAGGGTTTTTTGGTTCATGTTGGCCGTGCTACTTTCGGTGTTTTTGTGTGATTGCTAGTTGCTTGTCTCTGTCTTAGTTTTGCGATTGGCATCAGTGTTGGAATCCCAGTATTTCGCTTTTGGAGTGGTTCTTGTAGCAGTGATGTACGTGGAGTACACACGTGTGCAGCAGATATGCTGACGAACCCCAATGTTGCCGACCGGTTGTGTCAGGCTTTTACCAGGCTTCGCAGTTGAGGCTTCCGGCTGGGTTTTGGATGGTCCTTGAGTTTCACTAAATGTGGGTTTCTCAACAGTACTGCTCCCTTTGTTGGGGATGCCTGTTCAGGCAAAACCTGTAAAACAGCTTCACGAAACCCTGGAACATCGTCGTTAAGACATATGAAGGATTATCGCATCTAGGGTATTTGCCAGGGTCCCATGTTAGTGGGAACTCCCCGGTGCGAGGCTGAGCCTGCCAAGAACCATAGAAAGGTGAGAGTTGCAATATCGCGTAGTCCCAGCAGCCCGAATGGCTAGAGCAAGATAAAGCCCTAAACCCTAAGCCCTAAACCCTAAACCCTAAACCCTAAACCCTAAGCCCTAACCCTAAACCCTAAACCCTAAACCCTAAGCAGTGAGAAAGGCTTTTCGGAGTTCTCATCGATCTACCGCAGGGGTTGGGCCGCGGGAGTCTCGGATTCAAAAGGGAGTTTCCGAAAATAGTGCACCCCAATAGAGCACCCGAAATGGTAGGATCCTTACTATAGGGGCCCGAAAATCAGGTCACCCTAGATTTTCAGAAACTCCCAAAAGAGCTGAGACTCCCGTGAGCCGAAAAGGTATCTCTCTGTGTTGCTTTCGAGGCTTCTTGACTGACAGAACCTTGAGCCCCGAGGTGTAATGTGGGGGTCAGACGGGGTCTGAAGATTTTCGTAGAACAACGCTGGTCCCTGTGTCATTCTATGATTATAGCGCACCCTAAAAGCCAGATTCTAATTATTCATGCCCTCCACATTAGGAGTTTCCGAAAATTAGGGGGTACCTTACTTTGGGGGTCCTTCTAATAAGGATCCTTGTATGTAGGGTAGTAGACTAGGGTTCCCTACCTGTTTTCGGAAACTCCCACATTAGGAAGTTCTGGGATGCCATGACTCCAAAGGCCAAGGCTTTCAAACTTTCAAGTGCACAAGCTTATGCTCGATGGGTGGGGTCTGGGATCCGGCGCTGGGAGTTTGCTTGTGCAACATGAGGATCCAAGAGTTGCCTCGCGTCTCCCAGGATGTTTAACCGACTGAGTTGTGGGACCGCGTTTACTTGGACAGGTTTTACTGTCAGTATTGTTCGCATCATGCGAACCAGGTTCGTTGTGTATTGCACTTATGTAGGACTACGGGACATAGGGCAGGATCACTGATTCTTCGCACCCCTCCTTTCGGAGCCTCACAGCACATGGCCCGCCCAGGGCTCCGCTGATGAGAGCTCTCAGCTCCTGTGCTTTGCTGGGAGAGACGGGGGAAGTTTAATGAAACATACAACAAGAGAAGAGGATAACTATGGATACTCCTATATGGGCATATACATGTTTTTTAGTACACGTACGTGTCTGTATGTTTGCGCAGGTGGGTCCGGCAGGTAAACAGGAGGGAAGACTTTACTCCGTGCAAAGGCATAGCAGACATTGACGCATCGCCAATCTCAGAAGTCCGGGGGGACCTTTGGTGGGTTACACACACGCACACACGCGCCTCTGCCCTTGTGCCCCTAGATTCCTTAGATGGTGGCGCGCTGCTGCTGTCTTAGCTTGTCGGGCACATTCTGCATGCTTCAGTTTCTGGATCAAAACAGCCGAAAAACAAGCACCGAGAATGTAGCTGCAATGTAGCTGTTGCCGATCTTATGTCCAGTGGGAGACTGTGGGAGACTTCTCCAGTGTTCGTTCAGAACTCATCAGAAGCATGGTCACTCGCGAGCAGCATGCGCGCATCAGCGCGGAAGAACGCCTGCTGGAAGCGATTGTGGACAACAGCATCGAAGGACTCGGCGGGCATCCCTTTCCAACTTCGGGATTTCGGGATGTAAGGATCCTTCTAGGGTTTCTATGAGGATCGCTTGTTTCTTCTGAAGCCCTCATGCCACGAAGCCCGCCCACCCCTCTCGTCTTCGAACCCATGCTCGAGCCCAAAAGAGACTCAAAGTTAAAAAAGCCCGTCTCTAAGGAGGCTTGAGATGGTTGTCTCAGCTTCAGGTCGTACCATCTGAAGCAAGCCTCTTCAGGGCCGAGGTTGCCATGGAAGTTTGGTTTAACGGCACTGCTACTGTTATCGTTAGCCTTCTTCTTCGTCGTATTTCAATACAATCCTGTTATTAATGTAAGTAAGATTTGTTGAATTGTGCTTACACTTATTGCAATGGATACTCCTATCCTGACCCATATTTTCCTTCTTGTTGCCAGTATTGTCATCATTTCTTAGTAGTGTTTTGTTTGAGAGGCCTCTGAGTAGATGGGTGTTGGAGCGAGGCCGCATTGTGTCATGTTTCCGACATGTAAAAGCCCGAAGCCCAAGCCTCAAGATGCCAAAGCCTAAAGCCGTAAAGCTCTAAACACAGCTGTAGTGTGTTGGTGGCCTTGTACTCGCCCGAAACCACCAGAGGAGACCCCTTGTGTCCGAGTTGTGAGAGCGTAAACCCTAAATCTAGTAGTAGAGTAGGTAACCTTTTTCGGTAGTATTATCCCTATATAATCCCTATATAACCAAAAAGGTTAACCTTTAGTTCCCCATGTTACCCTACAAGTAGGTAAACCCCCCAAGAGAGCCCTGACGCCAGCTCTTGCGACGGTCCTCCACGGCGACGTCCCGGCGAAGGATCTGCTGCGGCTGCGGGCAGCTCGGCCCTTGTTGTCAGCTTTGCCTTCAGGCTCCAAGGGCTCCTTTTTGATGGCTCCAAGGGCTCCTTTTTGATGGCTCTAAGGGCTCCTTTTTGATGGCTCTAAGGGCTCCTTTTTTGATTGGCTTGTGGGTCCAGCCACCTTGCAGTTCAAGTCTTTTGGATTTTTTTGGACCGGAGGGGTCCCTTGCAGGTTCCGGAGATGAGTTTGGGGTCAATGCGCACCAGGACTACAACAGCCTGAAACCACGGACCCACCCTGACCCTTGACTCAGGGGAGTAAGTAGGGTCAACAGCAGCCTAATTGGGCTTGCAACAGAAATAACTCTAGTCACGTAGGTTCTTTCCTGACCTATATCTTACAGCTCTATTTTCCATGCCCCCCGATCCTTTCAGTGAACTCCCAAGATCCGGCGGGCGGCTCTCCGAAAGTGTGACAGGTGAAGCCTACCTACAATGACCCAGCGGATGCAACTCGGACTCGGTTCTTGGGAGATGATGGGATTTGAAGAGATGATGGCAGATGGTTCTCTTATAGCAAACTACAAGATTTATTGTAGAAGTTTAGGGTTTAGGTTTTAGGGATGTATTATATACACTCCATGTCCGTGCTTAAAAAGGGATGTATTATGACTATAAGCCCAACCCAAGACTAGCCGGCAAAATCCCAGGACACGGCCTTCTACCACTCGGTTGCCTCGTTTGGCCTCAGTTTCCCGGCTGGAGCTTGAGGGTTGAATCTAAACAAAACTCCAGAAAGTTGGAACATGGATTAATGGTAGGATCCCCTATAATTTACCTTAAAGGGGTTACGATAATGATATTCCAACTTTCTGGCTTCTACCTTAAGTCTATGCGCCCAGCAACCGACAGAGCGGGGCTCTGAAATCATCTCCCTGATGCTTAGTTGGGAATGGGGGAATGGGTTGTTGCGACTACTATAGGGGACCTTAAGGGACTATCATAGGGGACCTTAAGGGATTATCATAGGGGGCCTTAAGGGACTACTATAGGGGACCTTAAGGGACTACTATAGGGGACCTTAAGGGACTATCATAGGGATCCTTTCCCCCATTCCCTACTAAGAACCAAACAGTCATGATTTCGAGTCCAATCTTCACGATTACGAACCACTTGGTAGCCATTCACGCAGTCTATGCGCCTGCTTGAACAGGACATATTGGAGTTTCTCAAAATAGGAGAAACAAAATCTTTCTAGCACCTTAAATAGTAGGATCCTCATTATAAGGACCCGAAAATATGGTAGCCCTAATTCTTCGGAAGCTCCCATAGATTTTGTTCCGGCAGGTCGATCCAGGCGAGGCCCCTCCTTGAACTTGCCCCACACCAAGAAACCCTAAAGCCTAGAGTGTCCGCAGGCAGAGGAAAACATAGCTCAACAAAGACGTGTCACCGAAACATTCAAGCCCGTCAGCCTAAGCAAGACTTGAAATCGAAGCCTTAAAGATGTCAACCTGAAGCCCTATACATACAGCAACTAAAACCCCAAGCCAGAAGACCCAAAGCATTACAGCTCATCAACCCCCGACCCCGCACTCAAACCCTTGCAGACCCCTTATGGTGACCCCTGTAGTAACCTCTGTAGAGCCTTTACAGCAAGCCCTATAAAATCTCTATGGGCTCTATGGGCCCTTACAGTAACCTTTGTAGGACCTTTGTAGTGACCTTTGTCGAAGCCCTTACAGTAACACCGAGCCCCCAAATCTGGAACCTTCAAATCCTGACGAGGCTTCGCTGTTGGCGAGAACGCAGCGCAGCTGGCGATGAGGAGGGACGCAAGCAGTCGGGATTCTTCTAAGGAAGTTGTTGGGTTTTTCTGCCACGGATCCTGGGGTACAGGATTTAGGACACTTAGCGTCGTGTGGGGATTTTCCCTTACTTTTTCAGAGCTTAGTGGCTTTGTTGAGGGGTTGCGGAACTGTGGAGTGTGACTTTTTGACCTTGACGTGTTCGTGGAGGGAAAAGGAAAAGGGAATCGGATTCTGGCTTCGGGAAGTCCTTGGGTGTAGAGTCCGAAGTACCCTAAGCTGGGCTTCCTGTGCTTGAGGAACGGCTCCGAGGATGTCGGCACTTGCCTGGAGGCCTTTTTTGGGCCTTGCTGGTGGTGGGGTTGAGGGCATGAACTCAGCATCATCGGATACCTTAACCTGAACTTCAGAGTGATCTGAAATCCGAAGACCCAGTCTTCCTCCATGCTAGCTTGAGATTGTTGCAAGGGTGATGTTGATGATTTGCCGGGCAAGCATTAGGATAAGTTTGGGCAATCAAAGATTCAAAGACGTGCGCACAACACATCGCGAGCCCGGTGTTAGGCCCTGTATGATTTCGGTCCAGTCGTTGCTGCTCAAGATGGAGGTTTGAAAAAACCTCAGCCGAGCATGATAGGTTTGAATTTCAACCGACTCTGCACCATGAACCTCGCCCGACTTGTCCGAGAGTGAGTGCCGAAACCCAAAGTCCTAAACCCTGCCAAGTGACTCGCTCAGCAGTGCAGGAGGCAAAACAACGCCGAGCCCGAAACCACGCAAGACGTACACTAGGATCCGCGCGCTTATCACTGGTGCCTGGGGGTTACAGAGGTGAACCTCGAATGATTGAACTCTAAATCCCAAAGAGAAGCCGGCGGCTGCTCCCTTCAAAGACGGCTTCCAACCACCAGCCTCCACCAACTCAGAAATTGAATGTAGGGGCCTGAGCAATTCGAATAGGGTCTGAGATTGGTATACTATTGCTGGGACTAGGAAACGATGCTGTTCGTAGCCGATCTGAGCCCTACATGGTTGCAGACCCGTCCTGGAAACCGTTTGTCAATCAATGAGGATGATGTTCGGGATCCGTAGTAAACCCTTTACAACCCCATAAGACACAAACGCCACGTAGTTGGGTCTCAATCCCTTTGACGGGATTTGTCCAAGCCTGCCTAGGCTCGTCTGTACCTTCGGCATCCAAGAGATCTGACACCCAAACCCTTCGCCCTAAACCCGTAAGCCCACCCGCTTTCCAGACCTCGGCGAATGGAGAATGGACGTTCGCAAGAAGCAAAGCCTTACTGGGTTGTGCTTTGGGATAATTTTTAATTCCCCTTATTTCCTTCTAAAGGGAACCTATTCATAAATAATTTTCAAAGTGTTTAAAGCACAACCCAGCTTATAGAGCAAGAGGCGGCAGCGGAGAGTGACGGCCGCGAGATCCTCGAGAGTCGCAACTCAGAGAAACTTTTGCACTGGAGTGGGAGTTGCTGTGTACGGGCTGGTCCCAAAGAGGGGGGCTTAAAAGGGGGGCTTAAAGGGGGGCTTAAGGGGGGGCTTAGAGGGGGGGGGTTCTAACCAGGTTTAAACTCACTCTGTCTTCTTTCTGCTTGGGGCCTCGGGTCTTTTGGGGGGGGGAAGTTCTCATGTAAGCTCCTGCTCTCGGGCTCCTGGCTTTGGGCTCCTACAGTAAAGCACATAAAGTTGGAATAGTGCTGGGATTCCCCATACATGACTCTTCAGGATTGAGGCTGTTGGGTTTCCAACTTTTGGGCTTCTACTGTAGAGCAAGCCGCCCCTAATGTAAGGGCGTTACAAATTAGAATATATAGGGTT